CACAATACTCCCTCCTCTGCTGGTATGCATGCCCTCCTCCTCAACACAAACTCAGGTTCCTCTGCCTTCATATATTCAACTTCTCTAATCATTTCTTTACAGCCAAATGCAATTAATTTCTCTCTGCAATATTAAACATGAATGATCTTCTACTTCTGTAGATTCTGTCCAAGTCAATACACTACTTTGGAACTCTTCTGCCTCTAATCACTGCTCTTTGGCCCCTTTCCCTGGAATTTTTACTTCTTCTTTCAAACCCCATTGCAACAGTTCTCAACCTATTTCTGCCTCCATTCACTGCTGGGTAAATGCCACCAATGATATCTCTCACAGTGCACTAATTCTCTACCAGCTGGCACTATTCCTCAACCTAAGAGTACTGCTGCTGGGGCTCCTGGCTGCGTCAGTCCACAGGGCATGCGACTCTTGATCTTGGGATTATTAAGTTCGAGCCCCACACTGGGTGTAGAAATTACTTAAAAAAAAAAAAAAAGGTACTGCCCCATTACCTGGAACATTCCTCCCCTAACTAGTCTCTGAATTTCTATTCAACCCACTTGTAGACCATAACGTGGCAATGAACAATGAACAAGAAATGCCTACTAACACTCACACCTGTTGCATGCCTTGTGTTGCATCTGCGTATTCACGGTTTCCTTCAACCAGACAGCAATTCCTTGAAGGCAATTCCCTTATGTTAGTCATCTCTCCAAAGGACAAAGCACCAACTATATAAAGCCATCACTTCAAATATCTTCTAATGCTTTCTAGGTACTTGAAATGTACAGTCAAAAATTCCTTTATAAAATTAAACATACTCTTAACATACAAAAAAAAAAAAAAAAAGTCCTAAACCACAGAAAGAGAACACTATTTTGCAGGATGCTAAATAGGGATAAGGTGAAATGTTCCATAATTAAAGGTTTAAGAAATACTGAATTAAAGTTAACAGGTTTATTTGTAGAACTTTCTAGAAACTTTAATCTTGCTAATTGTGAATCTCCAAAAGCAGAATTTCCCACACTTGTGTTATAAAACTCTTTCCCACCTTCTATTGCTCATAACCAGCACCTATTAACTTCTCTCTTTCCAGGGAACACAATTGAGGAAATACTTATTAAGCAATAAATTATTTTCTTTCACAACTACTTTATATCCAGTATGATTTCCAAGGATATGTTAATAGAATTGGTTTTACGATTTATCCTAGTAGCCAGCCTCAGCATCCCTCAATTACCTCCAAAGCTATTAGATAGTATTATTACAAAAATCTTTTTAAGGATTCATTTCAGGATACTTTTAAATTATAAGCTCCCTTACTGCTTTTAAATATGGCTCCATTTACAAAAATTCCATTTATATACACCATTGGATCAGAGGGTATACCTGCTCTTCCAGGGACAATGTCTAGAGGCATTCAGAATGGTCCCATGTTTTTTTGTTTTGTTTTTTTTTTAAAGATTTTATCTATTTATTTGACAGAGACACAGCGAGAGAGGGAACACAAGCAGGAGGAGTGGGAGAGGGAGAAGCAGGCTTCCCGCAGAGCAGGGAGCCCAATGCGGGGCTTGATCCCAGGACCCTGGGATCATGACCTGAGCCGAAGGCAGATGCTTAACGACTGAGCCACCCAGGCGCCCCAAGAATGGTCCCATGTTTGACATACCATCACAGGCTGTCCAAAATACAGCCTCTAACAAAACTAGGCTGTCCCAAACCCCTGGTAATAGAACTGTTTACCTTTATACCAAGGAGGTTGGAAAAGCACCAAAATCCACATGTGGCATGTGCCCAGGCCAACTTTCGAGGCATTTGTGCTGTGAGACTTACAGTTCTTATGAGGTTGTCTAAGACGGAAAAAACACATCAGTAGAGACTGCGGTGATTCCATGTGTGTTGTGTCAGTGACTGGATCAGGCATGCTGGGCTTACTGAGGAGAACAGTGTTTTGAACGTGTTGAAGGAACAAGCACAGAGTCAGAAAGCTAAATTTAAAAGTGCAGTTTTGAGTAATAAAAAAAATCAAAAGAAAAAAAGAACAGTATAACCCTACATTTATTAAAAAAAAACCAAAAAAACAAAAAAAAACCACAACAGTACAATCTGTTAAAAGCTGTGGGTAGCTTAAGTGACTTGCCATTCTCTCACCAAAACAAAAGGTAGTACAAACAAAAAAGGACAAAGTGTATTCTAAAGAACCAAGAGTAAGAGGAAGATAAAATAAATTTGGAAAACAGGCACACTATTCTTCTTCTCTGGGAGATTTACAACACTTATTAGCCCACTAAAGGTTCCAAGAAACCTTCCAAAAAAAAAAAAAAGCCAGTTCAACACTGTTTAATCTATTGCTTCCCAAATTTACTTGACTGCAGAATCTTTTTTTTTTTTTCCTGATTAACACTATTAACATCCCAACATAAGCTGGTAAACATTATGACAGTTTTATCAGTATATCTGATTGGAAAAAGCATATCACAGAATTTTCTGCCTTCATTCTTCTGTTTCAACACTGTACAGTGTTGAAACAAAATAATCTTTTAGAAAAACTTGGAAGAGGCAGCAGGTAATCAGAAGGTAAACTTCTATGGGTCCGGGATGGGTGATATAGGTGATGGAGATTAAGGAGGGCACTTGTCCATGATGATCCCTGAGTGAGGTATGGAATCCTTCAATCACTACACTGTACACCTGAAACTAATGTAACACTGTGTTAACTACACTGGAATTAAATTAAAATGAAAAAGAAGGTAAACCTCTAAATTTTCCTATCTAATCTCATTCCCACTCACTTCCTCTGCCTAGAAATTTTATTTCAATGATTGAGATATGGGAAGAAAATAAATAAGTCAGGGGCGCCTGGGTGGCTCAGTTGTTAAGAGTCTGCCTTCGGGGGCGCCTGGGTGGCTCAGTTGGTTAAGCGACTGCCTTCAGCTCAGGTCATGATCCTGGAGTCCCGGGATCGAGTCCCACATCAGGCTCCCTGCTCAGCAGGGAGTCTGCTTCTCCCTCTGACCCTCCTCCCTCTCATGCTCTCTGTCTCTCATTCTCTGTCTCACAAATAAAT